AATTTCTTGATACTACATTAATAAAACTACCGACATTGATGTGCAACATGAGGTTTTTTGCTAATTATTTGCCATTTGCCTACATTGTAGCGGAGCTCCTTTTACTTTAATGGTTCTATTTGGGTAGCACAATAAATTTTCTGCCATCGATCGATGATCGCGTGATAAGCACGATAATTGACGTTAGCTTCCATATGTATTGACGAGTTTTCTTTCATTATTTTGGTTGCTGGTGTCGACAACTAAGTACAAGTTGGTGGCGCATTCTTGTGACAATCACTTCCAGATTTATGGGTTCAAATGCCTAGCACGGATGATAATCATCTAATATATCGCTGGGCTCAAGTCCCATTGAGTTGCCAGCCGATAAAAACCAAAGGAAAAAATAAATTGATCAAATCTAAAGATTTTGCATGTGTCGCCTGCATGGCGGTAGTTTCTCTGGGGTGGGTGTGAGGTATATCATACTTCCATAATGGCGTATTTTAGACATTCACATCTCATGCGTTCATAGTTTTAATTGATTTTCAAACGGTACGAGTTTGCCCCGATGTACATAAGCATGTTCACAGCTCATTTACTGACAGAGAAAGGTTTCCAACTTGCTTGTTTTATTTTTAACTATTTATAGCCGGCACATGACCGGCCAACCATTCGAAGCTGCAACTAATTATACCTGTGGATTTAAGCTCCTTCAAGACATGACAGCAATTCAAGTCTTTGATGGATGGCCTAATGCGCATAAATGCGAAAAATAGGAAATGCATTAACGACGCAGAGAGATAGTGGGCTGTTGCTGTCTTGGCCTTGCATGCAATAAATTTGGTTTCTCTATTGGCTTCTGAATTAAATTTTATAATAGTTCACCAACATGTTAATTTAATTATATTCCTGAAGCGAAATAACATGGCAAATCCGGAGAGTTTACTGCAATCGTGTATATTTTCCAATTTAAAACAATAGCTCCATGGTTGAATACACGCTGGAAAAAGTACAATCGGCAATGCATTATTATTTATATCATGAATAACTATTAACTTGAAACTAATTTTGTTTTCCAATGAGTAAGAATCAAAATATCATATTTTAAATCTAGTCGTTTAGTTATTTCTGATGAATGCATTCTTGTCACAGGTTTTCTAGAGACGCCTACAGCCTCAAAGGTAGCCCTGCTCATGCACCTTAGTGTCTCCTAAAGTTGCCCATTCACGGGAAGCTCAACAATTTTTCGCTTGAACTTGTTTTTATGTTGGAGTGACTGTAAATACTGATGTTGGGATTACGTTTATCACAAACTATGTTTAGTAGTTTTATAATTCATTCGTTTGTTTATGGTGTCTGAATGGTTTGGGAATGTGGGCTCTGCGGCTTGATGTACGTCGATCATGACCTTGAAGAATTGAACGTCAGGATTCCTGGTTTTAGAAAGCGACTTAAGGATTTAAGTTGGATAACTTAAATAGTCACTATAAACATTTAGAATACTGGAAATTTTGTTACTAAATAAATTTGAATTTTTACACTAGCATCGCAAGTACAAATAATTACGATCTTCACTGAAGAATCACGGCAACAATTCTCGGCATCAAAAATCGTAATAGGCGGATCAAATCTCAGAGAACACTGCTAATAAATTTTTATTCTAAAGGAATATATTCGTTACTTGAGAACTTTTATTTTAAGCGAAAGTATCACCAAACTCAAAAAGAAATTGTTTAACATATGTTTGGCAATGACGCCTCACATTCAATTGACATTTCCAAGAGATCAGCGGCTATCGCTGGTTGCCTGTACCGCGATTGCAAGTTCCAAATGACAACACAGGACGAGGCTAGCAGGCTCTTCCACACGCAAATACAGTTTCAAGCTTTATTAATGGCAAAGTTCACAGATCATTAAGATTAAATTATGGCCAACATGAAATTTTTTTTTAAATAGTCTGTTCTCTATTGCTTGATTTCTCTCAATGCATTCAAAGGTGTTTCAGTCTCAATAAAATCTAGTGTATTGTACTCTACTGTCAACAACCAGTGATAACAAATATAGTTCTGATTTTCTAAACCAAATTTTATATGTTAATTGATCATGCATGATTTACATCAGTTATGTACATCATATATTACTTTAGAAAGCAGCCAAGCAATCCAACCAAATTTTTGCAAAGATGTCGCGTAGTTTGGTATAAAGGTGAAATACGTACTCACAATTTTGAATTTTTTGCCCAATTAATCTACGTTTAATCCTGTGACGATGCTCAACGTCCGCTGTTGTGATGATGAGCATCTAGGCCGCTACGTGAACTCAGGCCGCTACGTGAACTCAGGCCGCTATGTGTACCTACAAGACACAGCCCTATGCCACCATCTAGCACGCATTACGCAAATCGGAATCCGATGCATCGTGGACATGAGATACGTCATAATCTATGACATTAATAAAACTGATTTGCTTTCATATTAAATAGATACAAAGTTTTTATACAAATAAATGTCTAATATATGTATCAGGTATCAATTAACAAAATAATACATCAATATCGGAAATTTCACTGCAATTACACCAAAAATATCTCATTGTAAAGAGGTTATAAATGTACTCGAAACAACAGATGCATTTTAAAAAATGTCAAATATATCCATGTGAGATGCTGTTAAATGTTGTATAATTCACTGATCAAAATTTAGCCGCAATAGCCAGGCACATAAATTCATATTAGGAGCAAGAATGCAATTATAACAGCAATAGATTTGCAATTACGATAGTGATGACCACTACGACTGAGGCATGCAGAACAGCTCATCAAACGCCAGGAATGTCAGGGGAGAGTAATTTATTCTCACTAATCACTCATTCAAGGGTAGAAAGAATTTCTCATCGCGTCTGAGTGAAGAAAAAGCAGCCATAAGAAACCTGGCATTTAAAGAAAAAACTCGACGGGCGGCCATTTTAAGTTCCGTTCAAAAACAGATCCTGGTTCGCCTTGAATAGCGTGGATGCTAACAAAAGTAGGATTTTAATAAGATTCCTGATTGTATTTATGATATCATTATTTCCGCGATGTTGGATGGATCAAATTGACTGGGAGATAAGAAGGGTAATTTGAAATACTTCAGACACGCTGAATATGTCCACTACGCCGCCTCATGTTCACTAAATTTGGAGCGTTCGGAGCATTGGAAATTTCAGAGATCATGAAATAGGATAAACCGTGCATAAAATTATACTGAGTGTGTATTGCAAATTGTAATAATACGATGGTGTCAGCGTTGATTAGGCCAACGTTGGATTGTCACTGATTATCAACTGACACCTTGCCAATTTCGAGAAAAATTTTACGAATATTTGCAGGTTTCGAACACGTAATTCGGTGCTCCAAAATCGATCTTAATCACTCGGCCATCCGTAAACGTGTAGAAACAGATGGCGCGTTGCGAATTTTCGTAGCATCGCGATGATCCGGGAGATAGAAATGGGCGAAAAGTCTTACAAATCATGCGACTTTATTGCGGTCGGTAAATGGCAAACGAGAATTTAGAGTCTTTCACAAATATCAGTGTGACGTACCTATTCAATTGCTCGTTGTAATTTATTCACAAAGCACCAGAAAATAAGACTTTATGTTTCAGAAACGATGACAGAATTGCGAGTTTGTGATCATTGCTTGTATAAGATTTGGTACTATTTTTATCGAATAAAAACGCAGAAGGAACAGAGGATTTTCAATTTCGGCAGGATGAGCGGGAGCTATAAATTGAAGAAATTGCCTACGGGTACATAATCCCTTTACGATCATGTCTTGATAAATAAGTAACATGGCAAACAACAGAATAAACTGCAAGCAATTGCTTAAGGTAAGCCTAGTATACGACTGTGATGGGTGCGTGACTCCTTATATAAGCACTCGTTCAAAATATGTTACTCATTCTAATACGTGCAATGCTACCTCCTGTAAACTGGATAGAGTACTCGTTCAATTCAAATGAGCTGAACTTAGGTTAGGAAATTGGCTTGACTTAAATTACTGAAATGAATTTTACATGAAATGAGCTTTACGAGGTAAAGGAAATACTGACACAACACTTCCTCGTGAGACCAAGGCAACACGGTCAATTAAATATCTGTTTTAGGGAATAATCACTCGGGTAGGAATTTTCATTCAATTAGCAACTTGATATTAAATGCGTTTTGGGTAGGAAAAAACCTTACGTCTCATGCATCTTATAAAAGAATGTTCAATGTCAGCGGCACAAGCGTCAACACGAGGCGTATCTTGACTTAACATGGGTGCCAACAATTTATAATCTAGTCGGAATGTTAGAGTCTGCACGAGTATGTTGTTAAGAATTGACGACTTCACGGAAATAATTTCGATAATCGGGAAACAGCAGTTGCAGTTGATTGAATGAGTTCACCATTCAGGCCGACTGAAATTGTGCACTATACGAGAAAAATTACTATACAGTTCACGATATTTACTTATTTGAACCAGACATATTTTTGGACTTAAAATGCATCCATCTTGAGCAATTAAATTCAAGGCAAAAAGCGTAGATTGGTCGTACTTAAATTTTTCTTAGTGATGTTTGGCTTCACAATCTATTTTGATGCGATTTCATTTCAAGTAAGCACAATAAAATCGTACGAAGCATTAAAAGTTTTTTCATCAACAGGGATTTTAATGCATAACAAATTTCAGAGATAACAATTAATACAAACATCTATGCACACCAAAAGAAGAATAATTTTTGAACATTACTATTAAGAACAATTAGAGAATCATGAATTTCACCAGTTCGTGTATCTGCTCTACCTGTACATTAATAAATTTAGCAGCACGCAGTTATCATCAATGAAACACTGAGAATATTATTATACAAAATAACAACTTAGGATTGTTTCATTTCAAACTTGGTCATTCGCGCATTTTCTGCCAGTCAGCTTCAATATTACGTAGGCCTTTTGATTTGTAAAAAATATTGGAAAAAAAGAAAACTTAAAGATGATTGTATTAATTATACCTTTATTAGAATGAAGTATCAAGAAAATAAGGAAAGATATTTTGAAAATATCAACATCAATAATCTAGCATGTTGTGTTGAATCGACTCCTAACAATCACTTCTTGCGTGAGTAGAAAATGTGAGGTAATGGAATATATTTCACACTCACTCACTAAACAAGACAAGTTAAAAACGTTCACAATAAACTAATATTGGCAAATTTAAAAACGTTTTTGCCATTCGAAAGAACGGATTTACAATTAAACTTCATATCAAACGAGTAATTTATAGATGGCATTAACCGGTAATGACCTGTACGTTAATCTATATATGTTAATAACCCATATGTTAATCTGTAAATAAATATAACCACCTGGTTGTGAAAATATTTCCAACATAGAGCGGTCTATAACACGCTAATATTATTTATCATGTATTTGAAATGTTTTCTTGGAAGAACTGAAAACTTGGCTTGTGAAAATTTCTAGTACAAGAAAAATTAACCACCCTCAGTATAGTTGCACTTACAAAAAAAAAAATAAGAACATGTAACCATTAACTTGCAAGAGAGAAACCATTAAAGATACTATTAACCATCGAAGAAAATTTTCGTAATATGCATTTTTGCACGAAATATACCGTACATCAATGAAAGATATTGAAACAAAGTATTCCGTTTGTCTACACCTACGGTCAATTTATAGCGCATCGTTAAAGCTTAAGTGAAATAATTCCCGTTAATAGAGCTATGAACCTCTAAAAGAAGTCAAATCAGGAGACAATTTCTAAGTAAATTAGCAATCCTTGTGACTGCAGCGAATTTCTAGCCACTGCAATCGTCAGCTGAGATCGCCTGACGCCACTATGTGTTCAGTGATGATGTTAGACTCCTCCATTAGAGAGACGCATCTTTCCTTTACATTCAGCAGTTCTCTGCAATGATAAATCATTTACAAAAGTTACACAACATTTTCTTGGATATGATTAGATCAAGGCACATCAATTATTATGAAAAAAAACACGTGAAATTTCCTAAGATAAGCTCAGATAAATGCTTATCTATTATTATGGAGGAGATAAATAACAGTTAAAATATAGAGTCGCTGTTAAGCTAAAAAGCAATTTGGCAACAAATCCATCTCAAGCATCTATACTTAGGGGATATATGTTCAATTTTGTACATATATAAAAGAATTTATGCTGGTTTGATTGAAAACCTGAGCATCCTTTTTATTAACAATTTTATTATTATTTTTTTTCAATAAGCTAGAAAAAATTTCTTCTTGATGCTTGGAGATCAAAAAGCATTTTATCAAATGACATTTTACTGGAATACGACGTTTCGAATAACCAATATTAATTATCAAGCAGGTGAAGAGTTACTACAACGCTTAAAATTGAAATTTGGAAATGACAACTACATACAAAAAAGTACCTATCAATTATTATAAGATGGCAGAACTTTCTTGTTTATATGCATACAATTAATGACCAGAGAATGCATTTTAGTTTCAAGGAGTCTTTCGGACTACGCTGCAGTAATTGTACTAACAACCACGACATTGAGACCGTCTCACCTGCCATCTGCAACCTGGACCAATACTTTCAAAAAAAGTTAAGAGATCGTAAGTTCATCAGCCCATCATTGACGGCCTTTCAAACAAAATCCACCAATCATAACAAGAAAATAGAGCGTAAGTACTTACGTTCACTTAGCGAGTTTTGAAATGAAAGTATGGCCCCGGGAGGACAGAGAAACCCAATAAGACAAACTCACAAGACCGTCGCTCGCACCATGCCGGAGAAACCCACCAGCATCGTCATCATGCAGAGGTGGACAACATTAACCAACCAACGATTGCTGGAATCCTCCTAATTTTGAATTGGATCCCAACTATCTATTTCCAAACTACCGGATTTGTCTAAAAATTTGAGATTGTTTGCAGAAGGACTTTCTGGCTGGAAATTTTTGTGTTGTATCCCATTTACGTGTATTAGGTACTTATGTCCAACAGAATTTCACTATTCAATGCTTCTCTTAACTTGAAAATGATTGTTGCTACATTCAAAACGTCAATAATATATTATTATTATTATTTGCTAAATCAGCCCTTTGATCTATTGATCTACCAACGTAATCTAAAGAATTGTTCGACTATTTGAAAATTATAATGCATTCTCTGGTCATTAATTGTACATGTATAACAAGTATCTTAGATACGGTTTAAAAACAAAAATTAAATTAATCCAAGAATAGTTATAACCGAATTAGGTACCTCTCATTTTCGCTGACTTTGTTGCGAAGTTTCAAGACTTTGTTTTTCAGTAGTAGAGTGTTTTGCTGCTCACGCACTAGAACGTCACACAATCGGCTGTATTCATACTGCAGAACCTGTCAATATGAGATGAAATAAGCATTAAAGCAAGAAATTTAAACAGTTTTCAGAAGAAGAAAAGACAGAAGAAAAAATCTCAGGTGGAAAACACTGCAAGCATTAACAAAATAACTAAAAGAGCAAAGGTGTAGGTAGGCAGAGAAAAACTGGATAAAGATGAATAAATGTCAAAAACCAAAAAAGTCTACAATAAATTCCAGCCAATTGCAATGATAGGATAACAATATATTAGGCATTGGATTTACAGTAGCCAATACAATGTCAGTAAAAAGAGACAAGAACTAATTAAGACCTATAATACTGTCGATCAATTGCTTAATTTTATATTACTCATTTCTTTTGATGGCAAATGAACTTGCTTGCCAAAGAGATTTTAAAATCCTCATCTATACCTTAAGATCATGAGCAGCCAAGTCTTTTATAGGATCTCCAGAAGGGCGCCAGGCTTTAGTGTCCTTAGGACATTGCGTAACCATGTTACTGAGACGCTGCAGTGGTTCTTTCATCTCAGTTTCAACAATTTCAGCCAAGTCTCTCAACAAGTTACGTTGCAGATCCTGCAAAAGATACACAGTACACACACATTAATAAATAAATATCTATAATAAATTATTGTCCAGAAAATTATCAAGACTAATTAACAATGAAATGGTAAATAATTTACCTCTATATTCTATGGACATTTGAACATTGTTCATAAAACCTAAATATAATTCTAAGGAATTTTAGAGCAATGAGGCAATAAAAATGTTAGCTTGCTTTGAAAATTAAAAAAATCACAAATTAGGCCTTATATATTTACTTTTTTTCACTAATCAGGACTTTAAACTATTGATTTAATATTAAGTATTTTGTCTCACCTCTGCAACAGTAGAAATAATTTTTTGCAGTATAATTTCCTCCTTAGATGTAATGCTTGGGAAGTACCTTAAAAATAAGAGAAATTTAATTAGTCTATGAATACATATATACATCTCTTTTCCATTTATTTGTAACAATCCCAGATACAACTAATTAAAAATTTGATAATTTTAATAATCGTAAACAACCAGTATAATGTTCTATTTTGACAAAACCTTACTTGCTAAGTAGAGAGCATTTCCATGAAGCAAGAAGTCTGTCCACTATACTCTTGAGAGAAATTTTAACATTTTCAAGCCGAGCGCCATCTTCAGGAGTGACNGTGTGCCTGTGTGGTTCTTGTGTTGTTAACACACGCTGTGTGCCTGTGTAGTTGTTGCGTTGTTAGCACACACTGTGTGTCTGTGTGGTTCTTGTGTTGTTAACACATGCTGTGTGTCTGTGTGGTTTTTGTGTTGTTAACACATGCTGTGTGCCTGTGTAGTTCTTGTGTTGTTAACACACGCTGTGTACCTGAGTGTTTTTAGCACAAACTGTGTACCATGCATTAGCACAAGTCAAAACAAAGCCAATTTTGCAGTATATGCCTGTTGTTTAATTTAACACCTACAACTTCTATGTTAACACAAGCTGTTTACCAATGATGAAGTTATGAAGGAGCATATGTTCAGTCTTAAAATGCCTGGCAACTTACAGACCAGGCAACAAGTCCAGCAGCTACTACTTCAATCAATCATCAGTTATGGAAAGATCAGGTTCCAAAGGCCAGATCCCTTGTGAATCAAGTCACAAAAAGCACAAGAATTGGCAACAGGGAATGGGACTAGTTCTTCAGTGCCTACACTTTCATTCTATTCTATAACTTACGGCCTGAAGGCGTAGGTGCACCAGCAATAAACTGCGCTTAGTATACGCTATACACATTTGTAAAGTGTACACATAACATGCGTGTGTTTCTACACCCGCGCTTATGTATGAGCCATCCCTGCGACGCCTTGTGTAACTGTATATACGAGTTTGTGTGGGTGGTTTTTGTGTGTGAGTGCGTATTTATGTGGGTCATTCTAAATCTTTCTAAATGACCATGTACCTATGTAATTGAGGACTGCAGTGCCCAAAAATAGGGGTGCGCTTGCTCCAATAGGAGCGGGACAGCCGGGACAAGCAGGTTGAGTGCATTAGAGTGCTCCAAGCTCTAGCACCCAAAAAACAGCCATTTCTTTAAAAAATAAGTGCCAGAAACTTAACAAATCCTACTCTAGGAGGGCTTTCCAATTGCACCTCTCACTCCTTGGCCATAGTGGTAGAGCAGAGAGTTTTTTAGACTCTCCATTTGTACCTAAAAGAATCAACGTCAGGCAGGTATTCCTAGTGACTTGCCAATAGGGGTTAAAACCAGTGTATCAAATTGAAGTGGCTACAGAATTGCTCATGAACAGGACTAATATGCAGCTAGTTCAGTTAGTTAAGTAATGATAACAAAGCCTAGGTTGACATTTAAACAATGAGCCTCAGCAAGGTGATCTTCAAGCCGTTCAAGGAGCTGCAGTTTGGGAGATGAAAAGACTCAGGACAGGAAGGTCAGGACTCTCAGGAGTCAGGACTGGGCAAGTCTAGGCTCCAGGTCTTCTAAACAGCATGCCATCTGGGTCCCACACCGACCGCTCCTATCATTGATAGTGGCAAAGCAGAGAGTTTTTTAGATTCTCCCTTAAGTTCATTTTTAAGTCCTATAAGCATAGTGGCAAAGCAGAGAGTTTTTTAGACTCTCGCGCAAGTTCATTTTTGAGTCCTTTTTTTTTTTGAGTAGACCAGTAAAGTATCATGGATACCAGCATTATCATACATAAGAAATTGATTAAATTCTTGAGTAAATGAGGAACTTATAAATGAACTGATTCTAAAAAATCTGTGGTTTGTCACTATGCCTATAAGTAGACCAATAAAGTATCCTGGATACCAGCATTATCATACATAAAAAATTGGTTTAAATCTTGAGTAAATGAGGAAATTAAAAATGAACTGATTCTAAAGAAGCTCTGGTTTGCCACTATGCCTATCAAGATCAAGTCAACAAAATAATGGGACTAGAGTCTATCTGTCTATGGTCTTTAAGGGCAGTTAAAGGGTATGTGTACCTCAAATCAGGAGTATTTTGGTTTGGGTTTAAACAAGCAATAATGCATAAATCATCATCAACACAGGACAAATGACAAATGTCCAAGCAACATAGCAAGACAAGAAAAGAAAGTACAGTATGGCAAGGCAAACACTTGATATGAGAATGAGATCTAATAGTTGTAATGATTCAAATTCAATGTAAAAGCAATATAGGCTAAGTGAATAAAGGAGTTCAAAACAGGAACAAGGTGACATTAAACAGGTAACAAAGTAATACTCTAACTCTAAGCGTGATAAGTGGTGTGCTTAGGTACTAAATTTAACGGAAACTTTTAATGGTGCATGCTACACTTCAAACATGATGATAGGCAGAAGCAATTGAAATTTTGACATTGCATCAAGTTGCATGCTCAACTACCTAGTAATTTATAGATGGAGAACAATAACATATCTGAAACAAATACAAGGGAAGGAAACATTCATTAATAATAAGTCACAAAAGCCCTAAATTAGATGGAAAGACCGAAAGAGCAAACCATAGTAGGAAGCATAACCTAAAGTAATCTAAGATAAAACAACGTACTCATTAGGACCTAAAGGTGATGTTTTGCTCCTGAAATCCTGAAAAATTTTTAAATTTCACCTTCATTCGGGAGCTGTATGGCGATACGGCCGTACGGGCCGAAATTCGCAGTGATCAAAGAATTTCTTCCAAGCTACTGAACAGATTCGAACTAAATTTGAATATAAATTCCTAACTACCTTCTTCTTCTTTTCGGGATGTCCACGCAGGGTAGACTTAAAGCCACAAGACAACCGCAAGGATGACCGTTGGGCCTGAGAGCTTGTGTAGTTTTGGACCTCTTGGCATGGAGGTCAGACCACTTATTTTTGCTTATGAAAAGTCAGTGGATGCAATGGCTGAGCTTGACAGCAAGCAAAAGAAAAGCAACATAGGGCATTAAAAATATCAAAAAGCATAGGCCGTTCCTCATCAGAATTCAGCACAGCATTTGGCCGCAAAATTAGGTGGACTAGTATAGGTACGATAACTTAGATCATACATCCCTCATACTTCTTAAGTTATTAGTGGTCCTAACTACCAAATAGTGATTTTTAGCTCGAGAAAATTTATTCGACTCATGTTCTGCACGTGTTGTGTACAAATCTTCAAGCAAACGTACGAACTTCTGACTTCGACTTTGCGGACTGCCGCCCCTTCCTTCATCACGCCCCCCCCAGATCTTTCCATCGCCCCCAGAGAGGCGATATAGTCCACTTTGGGAACCACTGTTCTACAGTAACCATTCCAATAGTCTGAACAAAAAGCATCGATTGAATATCATTCCATGGGAAAGAAGTGAGGTTAAACTAAGTTTAGGTCGACGGTTAAAAAAAGAGAATGTAACGTAAGAGATATACTTCATTTGTGACAAAAACACTGAGTATCAACTTGTCTTAAACTCGTAAAAGAATACAATAAAAGTGAAAATTAAGGTAGCGGCGTCCATTACGATAAATTCACGTCTTGCGTATATAATTATCTACAACATTATCTTCCTTAACGCGATCCGTGTTTATAAAAATTTAGAGGAAAAATTCATACGCCCAATAGGCCACGTAAACCTGGGCAAAGAAATTGCTTGTATTTTGTTTTTGGAGGCAGGCGAGCTGCACAAATGGACTAGAGTTGCCTGGACAAAGGGGAACGACGATGGCCCATACGAGGCTCCTGACGATGGCCCATACGAGGCTCCTGACGATGGCCCATACGCGGCTCCTGACGATGGCCCATACGAGGCTCCTGACGATGGCCCATATGAGGCTTCTGACGATGGCCCATATGAGGCTTCTGACGAGGGCCCATGCGAGACTCCTGACGATGGCCCATACAAGGCTCCTGACGATGGCCCATACGAGGCTCTTGACGGATGGCCCATACGAGGCTCCTGACGATGGCCCTTAAGAGGCTACTGAATGAGATTCCTCACTTTCCTGGACATTAAGCAGCCTACACGATACTAGTTTCCTTTGCTGCAACATAAATTCGTCTTTAATGTGATGAGTGCTGTGTGTGTGTGTGTGTGTGATGAGTGCTGTGTGTGTGTGATGAGTGCTGTGTGTGTGTGATGAGTGCTGTGTGTGTGTGTGTGTGCCGCGTGTGTTTGATTATGCCCTCTGAGGTTGCGAGTGTCGGGGTAACGTGGTCGCAGTTCTCCGGCAAACGGCGGTTTCGAAGTGAGCCTCGGCCAGGAAAGTCGGTATATCGGACTGGTCGCGATCGCCGTCGTGAATTTTTTGTTTGTGGCGGCGTTTGTTGTTGTGGCAGCGGTTGTTGTTGTGGCTGTCTTCCCCACGGCCGCTATTCCACGTTCTCCGTTCACCCAAGACGTCTTCCCCACGGCCGCTATTCCACGTTCTCCGTTCACCCGAGACGTCTTCCCCACAGCTGGAGTAGTAGCAGTGAGAGAAAGTCCCTCCTGCAAGAGGCTGGCCTTGCTGCAGATGATCAGTCTCCACATTCCCCCGTCGAGCCTCGGGAACCGATAGTCTGGACTGCGTCAGGGGCCATTGCTGTAATATAAGTTAGTTAGTTTAGTGGCCACATGTTTACTAGCGCTTCAGCTATTTAGCTATCTCGCACCGAAAGTCAAGACGAACACCACTAAAGGGGTGGAAGGACTCAATTATCGAAAGATTCTCAAAGCAGCGTTAGCATCTCAGAGACCAAGTGACAAAGAGGGACAGGTGAAAAGCGACAGAAACTAAGACACTCGAGCAAGAGGTCGCTTACACGGTACGTCGGCCGCCCGCACGCGAGAGACAGAGAAGGGAAATGTAAAGAATCCTATCTACATAATAACTTAAACCACAACCGAGACTAGAAGTAAGATACTGCGAGCTCAGCAGTGGGACGCTCAGGACGACCTCTGGCCGTTCGTCCACGGTATTTGTACAAGCAACGATTCCTTATGAAATTACGTTACAGAAATAAACGAGAAGAAAATATACTCGTGTGGGTTTGCTCGTTTCCGAATTAGTTAACTAAACAATAACTGCAATAAATCAAGTTGGGGCTCCACTAAACTCAAGATGTATATTAATTTGACGCTTGCGCAGTGGTTGTAATATTTCCAGGTGTGTGGGTTTAGTCGTTGCTGAATTATTTAACTAACCAATAACTCAACTGTCAGCAGAACTTACGAGGGTTTCTAACTTCTCAAAGCGTTAAAAACAACGAGCCGTGAATTTCATGAGAGACATTGGTTATAAGAGCGGTGTACTCCAGCGCTGGGGTGGCCGCGGCCGCAAATAAGTATAGTAAAGAACAATACTAATCCGGGTGATAAGGGTCTACCCTACCTCCAGAGACTGGGGTATCCTCCGGGTGGGAAGGACCTACCCTACCTCCTCCGGGTGGGAAAGGCCTACCCTACCTCTTCCGGGTTGGGAGGTTCGGTGGAGAGGTTGACGAAGGCAGACCAGCGGAGTCTGTAGCAGCGGTGGGCAGACGCGGGGCCCGCTAGTGTCAAGCCCCCGGCGAAGGCTTCGTCGAAAGCCACGTCGTAAAGGAAGTCGGAGGGCTGGGCTGCTGGCTGCAGGCCTGCTAACAATTAAAATGGGACAGTAATACAATTACTTAATTACCTACATCATTAGTATTTTTCATACAGACTATTTCACGGATCTACTATCATATTCCAAATACAACTGAAGATGAAGGCGCGAAATAAGTGACCGCGAGCCTGTCAATAACCACGTCAGGCATGGATAAAACCAATACAAAGGTGAGTAACGTGAATATTATGCACCAATGCATCACCGCGCCATGCAAGAATAATGTGAATATAATCCATTTATTTATAACTGCGTTATGGATCAACGGATTATCAACAGGACAGATGAACGTGACGTTCATTTGAGTCATTTCCAAAATTGATTCGGTGGAACAAAGAGAGAGGCGGAAACGTTCCTAAGGTGCTGTGAATTTTGAGCTATCAAACGTCGCACAAGCAAGCTGCTTCTAGACAATATATTTGACTAAGAAAAAATATTTTAGTACTAATAAATACACGGGAAGAACTTGATCCTAAAAAAATTCATAAAGATTTTTGTAACGACACGACGAATTTCAAATCATAATATTAATAACTAGAGAATCTCAAAGACTTGTTCATCTGATCCTCTAGCACAACGACCTATCACGGTGCCGCGTGCCCCTAGAGGGACCACGTGACCGTCCCTGACGTGGATGACGCGGTCCCACACTTTGGTCTCCACGGGACCGTTTACAGGGACGCTGCCTTGCAGGGGGTTCGGCTGAGGACATGAAACAGAGGAGTGGAAGTGAAAGTGAAATCTGCAGGATAGATTCTTCTCAAAAAATCATTATATTTTGTATTCTAGTATACCAAATCACATCGGCAACATCGTTCTTTATTCTGTTTAAAGCTGGTTTTTTGTACCTTCGGGACAAGACCTTGCACCTTCGAGACAAGACCTTGTACCTTCGAGACAAGACCTTGTACCTTCGGGACAAGACCTTGTACCTTCGGGAAAAGACCTTGTACCTTCGGGACAAGACCTTGTACCTTCGAGACAAGACCTTGTACCTTCGAGACAAGACCTTGCACCTTCGCGACAAGACCTTGTACCTTCGGGACAAGACCTTGTACCTTCGGGACAAGACCTTGCATCTTCGAGACATGACCTTGTACGTTCGAGACAAGACCTTGTACCTTCGGGACAAGACCTTGCACCTTCGAGACAAGACCATGTACCTTCGCGACAAGACCTTGTACCTTCGGGACAAGACCTTGTACCTTCGGGACAAGACCTTGCACCTTCGCGACAAGACCTTGTACCTTCGGGACATGACCTTGTACCTTCGAGACAAGACCTTGCACCTTCGAGACATGACCTTGTACGTTCGAGACAAGACCTTGTACCTTCGGGACAAGACCTTGCACCTTCGAGACAAGACCATGTACCTTCGGGACAAGACCTTGCACCTTCGGGACAAGACCTTGCACCTTCGGGACAAGACCTTGTACCTTCGGGACAAGACCTTGTACCTTCTGACACAATACTTTGTATCATCCTTAGAAGTTTGCAGTAAAGCACAATGTAAATCATATGCAAATCCAAGTCTCGCGGTAGTCTTGCGGAAAACTTTAATCAATAACCGGTACAGGTTTTATTGTAATTCATGATGGTTAACACATATTTTTTCTCTTCACAAAAGATAACAAACCTATCATTAATTACGGGCACGACAGCTATAGGTCGGTTCACCTCCTGCATCTGTTTGAAGAACAAGAGGTCGAGTCCAAGGTTGATCTTAGGCTTAGGTAAGGTGGGGGCCAATGGAGGCTCGTCAGGGTCTGATTTAAGCACCATCAGCACCGTGCCTGCGAGGCGCATCACCGTCTCCTGCGACATACCCAGGCGTTCGCCCACCTCGAATGCTGCTAACAAAACTTATGTATAAATATACAAACGCTTATTCTCATGTCACTCAATAATATGATTAGATTCATAAGTAGTAGTAGTATGATGGTTTGCTAGCGCTTCAGCTATAGAGCTATTTCGCGCCGGAGGTCATAATATAACATCGCCAGCAAGGCCGAAGGTCTCAATTATTCAAAATCTCAAGTTAATCATCACCCACAAGGGGCGGAAGGTCTCAATTGCCTAGCCCGCTGAAGCTGGCTCGTAGGAAGCAGCGTTAGCATCTCAAAGAGACGAAGTGACAAGGAGGGACAGGTGAAAAGCAACAGAAACGAAGACACTCGAACAAGAGGTCGCTTACACGGGACGTCGGCCGCCCGCACGAGAGAGACAGAGAAGGGAAATGTAAGGAATCCTACCTACATAATAACTTAACCCCACAACTGAGACCTACAGTCAGACACCGCGAGCTCAGCGGTGGGGCGCTCAGGAACAATCCCCCTAGTTAGATTCATAAATATGACTATTTAGATCCGGGACTTGATGCGACATACCCAGGTGTTTGTCCACCTCGAGTGCTGCGAGCTCTTGCATACAATATAGTGACGCTTACCATCATGCCAATCAATAACTCAGATTGGAAGATACCTACTTAGTTCTCAGACATATCGGTAGAATTAGGAGAAAAATTGTCGTGTAAATGTCAGAAGAACATGAGAATTAAGCAGCTAATTCATTGTAAATAAAATTCGAGAAGTATATAGTGTATTGTAGGTGCTAGCGTACTGGTAAAGTAACTATACGTATGAATGTTCATATGAATTATATATGTTCTCGCCAGAGATGATTTTAGAAATAATGTGCACAGAAATTCCTATAACATGAACTATCTAACAAGTAAAGTCATAACCTCATGCTTGAGAAGCACGTTACTCACCGTGCAGGTATCTGTGTTCAATATAAATAAAGTCATAATCTCATTGTGGAGAAGCACGTTACTTACCGTGCAAGTATTTATGTCCAGGGACTGACGACTTGAGGCGGCTCAAGTCAGGCTCGTGACGCGTCTCAACTCGAACAAGAACTTCGTCGTTGGTTCCAGCATCAGCTTTGTTGCTGGGAGAGTTCTCCAGAACCTGCAGATCAACGCGGGGCCTTGCAATACACCAGAATCATGCATTTCCAATTGCTCTATAAATATTTGAACATTACGTGAATGGTAAGAACTAAAACTAAGTATCGAGGAAGCAAAATTTTCATACATGAAATTTTGAATAAAATCTTATAGCAATGAATGACGAGAAAGAATGGCGATTGACTAGTCTTTTGTTAGCCACTTCACTGAGATAGAAATCTACTTAAACAACACGAAAAAAGGCGTTGGCGCTTCAAAACAATAAAAAAAAACTCAAAGAACTTAACGCTTTTTGAGTTTACAAGCTGCACAAAAACGTACTCCACCCATATATTTTCCTGAGCCTAAAAAGTGGACGAATGCTTGATTGCCATCGCCAAGCGATTCTCAGACACGCTGGGGGGCGCTTCAAAAGTCGCATTAATCGGTGCACCGTGGCGCAACAACCCTGGTGGAGTAGCCCAAACACAACAACACACGCACCGTGGCGCAACAACCGTGGTGGAGTAGCCCAAACACAATTTGTCCACCTCGAGTGCTGCGAGCTCTTGCATACAATATAGTGACGCTTACCATCATGCCAATCAATAACTCAGATTGGAAGATACCTACTTAGTTCTCAGACATATCGGTAGAATTAGGAGAAAAATTGTCGTGTAAATGTCAGAAGAACATGAGAATTAAGCAGCTAATTCATTGTAAATAAAATTCGAGAAGTATATAGTGTATTGTAGGTGCTAGCGTACTGATAAAGTAACTATACGTATGAATGTTCATATGAATTATATATGTTCTCGCCAGAGATGATTTTAGAAATAATGTGCACAGAAATGCCTATAACATGAACTATCAAACAAGTTAAGCCATAACCTCATGGTTGAGAAGCACGTTACTCACAGTGCATGTATCTGTGTTCAATATAAATAAAGTCATAACCTCATGGTTGAGAAGCACGTTACTCACCGTGCATGTATCTAAGTACAATATAAATAAAGTCATAACCTCATGGTTGAGAAGCACGTTACTCACCGAGCATGTATCTGTGTTCAATATAAATAAAGTCATAACCTCATGGTTGAGAAGCACGTTACTCACCGTGCATGTATCTAAGTACAATATAAATAAAGTCATAACCTCATGGTTGAGAAGCACGTTACTCACCGAGCATGTATCTGTGTTCAATATAAATAAAATCATAATCTCATGGTTGAGAAGCACGTTACTCACCGTGCATGTATCTAAGTACAATATAAATAAAGTCATAACCTCATGGTTGAGAAGCACGTTACTCACCGTGCAGGTATCTGTGTTCAATATAAATAAAGTCATAACCTCATGGTTGAGAAGCACGTTACTCACCGTGCAGGTATCTGTGTTCAATATAAATAAAGTCATAACCTCATGGTTGAGAAGCACGTTACTCACCGTGCAGGTATCTGTGTTCAATATAAATAAAGTCATAACCTCATGCTTGAGAAGCACGTTACTCACCGTGCAGGTATCTGTGTTCAATATAAATAAAGTCATAACCTCACGCTTGAGAAGCACGTTACTCACCGTGCAGGTATCTGTGTTCAATATAAATAAAGTCATAACCTCACGCTTGAGAAGCACGTTACTCACCGTGCAGGTATCTGTGTTCAATATAAATAAAGTCATAACCTCACGCTTGAGAAGCACGTTACTCACCGTGCAGGTATCTGTGTTCAATATAAATAAAGTCATAACCTCACGCTTGAGAAGCACGTTACTCACCGTGCAGGTATCTGTGTTCAATATAAATAAAGTCATAACCTCACGCTTGAGAAGCACGTTACTCACCGTGCAGGTATCTGTGTTCAATATAAATAAAGTCNTCTTCAAACTATCGCCAGTCATGAAAAGATCCGGTCAAATGACACGAGTTTAGATCTATGAACAAGGCACGAAATGGAAAAGAATCGGCGACAGGCCACATCAGGCCTACACTTCAGAGCCGACATCACTATGTTATGTTATGTTATGTTAATTAGATCCATCAAATTTTATCTTAATTTTGGAACCCTGCCCATCTCACCGTCTGCCAGCGATGGGCTTGCAGTGCACCAAGATGCTGGAGCGACCAGCATCGATGCCCCACTTGTAGAGAAGATCAGAGCGAAGGCTTTTAACAGTTGTAAGAAATTCTTGTTGTTCGGGTAGTGTTCCGTCCAGCTCGTAGTTGTTGAACACTTCGATCATGGATGACGCACCGGGACTGGCGAACCTGCCGCAGCTCAAGCCAACCACCTGGGGGTTAATGTATAGACAATTGTTAGGGATATGAACCTGATTAAAACAAAAATAGTTTCTAAATTGAGCTATGAGTAATGAGAAGGAAATATTTCATTTATGGCGCAAATTTGAAGCACATAAATCAATTCATCTATAAATTTATTATCATACCAAGAAAATATAATTGAGAAAAAGAAAATGTAAAGCGGATCCTTGAGACACAAGGACAATAAAGTTATAATAAAATCCAAAGATTTAAAGTTGAGAGACACACAATGTTATTCGCACAATGTTTCGGTTCAAGTCCACAAAATATAATTTATAAAATGGTTCAGTTCCCGTACATAAAGCATAATTTGTAAAATAATTCAGACAATGTCCATAAATATCCTTCATGAAATTTTTCAGTTTAGGCACACAAAATGTCATCATGAAGATGGCAGAACGCACCAAAGCTTCTTTGAGATGTGGCCAGTCAACGTAGACGATTTTGTTCAGAAGTTCCTGAGCAATCTTGTCGAACCCTCAAGTGTACAAAATAACATCAATACAACTGTTCACATGACAAGTTCCATCGTTATTAGTTAAGTTAGTATTAGTTGGTTAGATTCTACTGGAGTTCATAAGAAACAACTCATTAAATTCAACAGACAAAAACATGCAGTCGAGTTTATCAGGCACCAAACATTGACAGCAAAATATTAATTTCAATAGATCCAAGAACATTCAGTCAACTTGCTAAAAAACAATACACACAAGCATACAAAACATACAAATACACGAAACATACAAGCACAAAAACATGCAGTCAAGTTATTAAGAAGCCAATTATTATCAGGAAATCATTCAGTCGAGTTGATAAGACACTAAAAATTGCTAATGGAACATCAATGATAATCAACACAAAGGATGTAACTTGCGTAGTCAGCGGACTTACACTCATACGGACGGTAGCGGCAGAAGAAGGGATCCCCAAGTTCAATAATGACGGACTCCTGGAACGCTCGCGCGTACACAAGCCCAACACGATGCTGACAGGGAAAATAATAAGAGTTTCTTTTGAATCAATAAATTTGTTTCTAAGATAAAAGGACATTCCAAGTATAGATATTTGGAAAATCTGTAGTATTTAGTTGGGATATTTCGTACACTAATATGAGGTGTGCTCGTGGATGTCAGGTAAGAAGACACTTTGCAGTCGAAACATTTTACAATCTCATACTTTTACAATCGAGACATTTTCCAATCTCTTTCTTTGTATTATGTTACAGCAAATTATATTTTCAAGCCAGTGTTATATCAAGGAATATAGAAACTTCAAGCTAGTGATATGCCAAAGAAAACAACGACTTCAACCTAGTAATATGACAAAGAAGATAATGACGTCAAACTAGTTACAGTATATGTCACGGACGGAAAATAATAATTTCAAGCATTAGGTTAAAGAAAATAAGGACAAATCTAAAACTCACTGTATGTGCCAGATTCTTGAGCGTAGGGAAGCCTGGGAAGTAAAGCTCAGTCTGCGCTCCAGGACACAAGCCCCTCAGGATATCCTCCCTAGAGAGGCTCCACGCCTCTCCGTGAATCAAGTCGCACTTGGCATGGTTCATGCGAACCGGTGGGAAATGCTCGGGACTCTGTAATATGAAGAACTAGAATACTTAAAGCACATAATAACGTACGTGAGTCATGAACTGACCTAACATCCGAAGAGGTTGCCCAACGTGGAGCTGTAGACGTGCATGGGACCAGGGACAAAGAATAAAATAATATCAGGTTAAAATTATTTCAGGATAAAATAGCGTGAACTGACCTCATAAGCACCGAGGTCGTCTGGCGTGAAGCTGTAGACGCGCATGGGACCATGAACAGAGCGTCGTCGCTCGTCTTCAGTAAGACGATGGCTCACTTTAGACATGGCCTCCAGCAGACGTTCCTCGTCAATGAACGGCATGGGTGCCTCAGCTTCTAGGTCCTGGAAAGAAACACAAATTCATTCAAGATATACTTCAGAAATTCATTTAACATTTTTTAACATAATTTTAAAAACTTTAAAATAACAGTGTGTGAAAATTTTCCGCAGTTTGTGTTAAACCTTTGTATTGGTCATTGCAAGCTAAAAATACAAACATAATCACGCGGATAGAAGTCGATGATAGGCGAGTCAGGGCTGAGCATGAGGTCAGCGTAGCACTGAGGCAGCAGCTGGGCGCTCTGGGGCGGCAGGACGGCCATCAGCTGTTCAAACGGCATCATGGCGTGGCTTAGTTCGAACTCCATGGAGCAGTCAGAGAAATCTTTGATGTCGGAAATGTAAGGTGCGCAATGGAAGGGGTAATACCAAGACCATGACTGAATACCGTTGTAGTAGTAATGCAAGGTCCATTGAAGTCCTCTTACGTAGCTGCCGGTCTGCTCCCGACTTATGACATCTAATGTTACATCCTCTTTNGAGGCGAGGCCCAGCATGATGAGGCATGTGATGTATACACACCTCCTCCCTGAGCAGGGCAATGTGAGGCTCATGTGAGGCGAGGCCCAGCATGATGAGGTCAGCATCGAGGCCGTAGAGGCAGTGGCGCGTATGAGGATCGTAGCCTGGCTGGCTGCGGTGATACCTGATGTAGTCCATGATTTTGTGCTCACCTTCTCCTGGAGTCTGAAACAAAGAACAATTACAATGTAAGCCATTTAATCTACAAACGACGCACATTTTTAAATAAAAAATACAAACGGTGGTGGCGACAACAATAATGTTTTAGGATTTAGCAATAAAACTTAAATTAAAGCTCGAAATAGAGTTCTTCTTGATTAGTGTAACATACCTTACCACTTCAAAAATGTATTTTCTTTTAATTGGGTGGTAGTAGCATTCACTTAAATAAGATTTCACGTTCTATTAAGCAGATATTTGAGAATGGTTGGCTTCAAACCTGATGTCCTGAATAGATGACTGTACACGACTGCCATGAAGGATCATTGGAGATTTTTGAGGTGATAAAATTCTGAAATTGTTGGTCCAGGCGATCCATGAACTCTGTGCCGGGAGTGATGCAGTTCGGATCAAAGGGCTCTCCTGGGGGCAAAATTTTGCCCTTTTCTAAGGCTGTAGTTCTTGATTTTTCATCAGCTTGACAACAGGAAAATCTGCAGTAATTATACAGAAAAGTTAAGCATTTATTGTTAATTAAAATTCTTGTTGAATTTGAGATAAGAGATAATCTTAAATATTAACTTGAGAAAATTAAGAAAGGACAATTTTAGACCAGAAACAAATCTGGGCAAACCATTGAACATTTGAAGAGCCCATTTTTTCTTAAAACACATAGACAAGGCTGCAAGTGTTCATGAAATAAACAAATATAAAGACTACCGAGAAGCATCAATAATAACCTGTTACTTGCAATAGTTTAAATGCACTTACACACCAAATCACCCAATGTGCAAAGTTAGCATACCTTCCACTTCTCATTTGGTCCAGCTTGGCTCTAGGAGCAACACCGTCAATAGCCAGGAAAAACACTTTCTTGGGGCGTATCATGCAGAACAGAGACTGTAAACAATGACAATGTTAAAAATAATCAACATAGGTATATAAATGATGCAACAATAGATCATAGTACTCATGGGAACATTATTTGTGTATTAATTGTTTACTTTGTCCATACCTCAATGTAATGGAATATATCTTCGAATATCTGTTCTTCAGTGATCCTGAAGCAAGGATCAGTCTCATCTGGATGAGAGCACGAGTGGATGATGCCATTCATGTCCAAGTAGAGATTATCAAACTCAGGAACCTGTAAGTAAGGATTCTATTAGTAGAATGCTTCATATCAATATATCAGAAACTAAAAATTTTAGATAATACATATTAAATTTAGGTATAAAAATAATGCAAGAAAGATTTAAAAATACAATACATGAATTCCGTCAAACGGGGTAATAAGGGACGGTTTTGAGCATTTTTCGTTAATATATTCTTACCATGAAAAATTTCATAATCAAGTTTGGGCTCATTTTAAAGATCTTTGCGAGCGCTATCGTATGGCGCCTAAAAAAATTCCATATGCTATACGTAAGGTGCCAGACGCAAAATAAAAGCATACCGAATTACACCTGAGAACGAGTTAATCTGGGACATTTGAAACAAAACTCAATTTTCAAACGTTTGGAGCATGCAGAGTGTACTCATCCATTACTAACAGCACTCTGAAGTTTTCCTCTTCCTTTGTAGATGATGTAGAATGAATGACTTTTTGTGAGTTTTACTTGTTTTTCCTTTATTGATATGGTATTACCGATCCATGAACACGCCATAGAGCATTAACAACGACCTTGTCCACTGCAAGCTTCATATCAGCAGCCGTATAGCATTTCTTCTGTATCTGTATGCTCACAGGACGGCTTGTAACTTCACACCATTTTAATTGGGATAAGTGAATTCACAGTAACAAAAAAAGATCATAAAATCATACCTGAAACAGAAAGGAATATTTTGGTGACAGCCATAACATGATTTGGAGATAAAAATCATAGTTTAGGTTATTTCCTTTCATTCTATGTCTATGTTGCTCGGTGCACAATTATTTCTATGACATTCTATGCACAATTTTGTGATGACCGATGATGCATTACTGTTTCATTAAGTGAAATTTTTCCCTGAACGAAATAAATGTAATGAAAAATTTTTGTTGGAAATTGAGTTCTTTTAACTGGAGCCTTTGCTAATTGAGGTTCTATTTTAAAGGCGTTTTCAGGGGTTTCCCACTGTCCCTATAATTACTCCATCTTTCGGAAATGGCCGCCATTTCTTTTGGAATGAGATACGCAAATTCTGTCAATCACGTTTTTAGGCCAACACCTGTGTGCAACTTTTAGGTAAGTAACATTTTTTAATATGGCAAATATTTTTTTGCTACAGACCTTAGCAGAGGTACTTCTCCAAAATCTCACATTTCCCACATTTTTCAGGGATTCTTTAGAACTAGTAAATGTCTGATTTCTTAACTTGCTTTATACTACATTGATAGTAGAAATGTTGAACTTTACACCATTATTTTAGTCCTGCAGCAGCTGCTACAGCTTTTCTACTAAATGAGAGACGTCTGTCCCGATTTACCCTGCCCGTCCTCTATCACCCCGTTTGGCGGTATTGTATATACATATATATTAAATTTTGCAAATAAAAATACAAGCTATAGAGTAAACAGAATATTCTATATACAATTACAAGAAACTAACAATTTTCTTTTATCATAATTCAGCATATTATAGTTCACTTTTGACCATAGCAACCACAAACCTGATCAGGTCTGACATCTTCAATGATTGTAGGATACCTTTTGCTAATCCATCTGTAAAACTTGGGGACACCCATTGCAGCTAAATTATCAACAACCTGCTAGATAGACAAATGTTAGAAAATTAATACTCTTTTATGAAGGCATTGAAGATCATTAAAAGCCGATTTATAAATTGGAATAACCCTCAACAGACTATGTAAAAAAAAACTGAGAGCACTGTCCACTTGCAGCTTCCCAGGTGCTGAGGTGCTGTCTGTAAAATTTACAAATATCTTTGGCAAAACTAACTGGAACTTAATTTAAAATAGTTTTCAATTATTATTGATAGCTATTAAATTTAGAACTAAATATCATATATCAAGTTCCTGTCATTCTGATACATTAATGATTACAATTTTTATTAGTCAGATACACTGACTGAACACAGAAATGTCTTATTGAGTAATTTGAGTTGAATTGCCAGATATGCAAATATAGACTGTATATATTGTGAAGTTGTGATTTGTGAACATGACCAAATTAGATGGTTCTGGTTGGTGTGGTGATGATTACTGAGCATCTGACCCAATGTTTGAATTTTATCTCAAGACTGCAATACAAATAACAGTGTTTCTGTTTAACAACATATTTTATGCACAGGACTAACTGGAGTTGAGGCTTGAGCTGATGTAAACAATAACTCAAATAACTGAGCTACGTATTAAATTATATAGGGGAGCCCAGGAGATCGATAAACATGCATATTCATGCCTAGTTTGCCTACCGTCAAAGAAACTGATGCACAAGTCGCCACTCAGCACCTACTGCAAGTACCTACAAGTACATTGCCATTGCTAGTCCCAAGTTCTCAACTCACAACTTCGCAAGTAGAAGTATCTGCACTAAACTCGCCGCTGGTCAATAAAACCATAAAAGACGGTCAGAATTAAATTTTTGCGATTAGATTGTCACATAATAACTAGGAAATGTTTTCGATATTTAGGCAACCACGGTACAAATAAGAAGTGAAACATCGACTCCTGGATTGTCTGACATATTTTTATAGTTGGGGTTAAGACTTGTGGCGACAAATGCGCCCACCAGCCTGTTCTCTGTCAGAATTGTCTGACATTACTCACAGTTAACGTACGGAGCAGTACTACGTTCGAAAGAAATTTCTACCCATTGGCTACAAGGCTCAAGGCTACAACTCGTGACGAGTTCGTAACGTGTTCCTTCGAGGGGAATGCTCGTATTTTTACACTAGAACAATTATGTAAATTAATTTATTTAACCTAAACATTATCATACCTCGTGAAGTCGGCGACATATTTTTAGTTTCGATTTTCCTTGCAATGCTAACTCTTCATATATTGGAGTAGGAATTTGGATAGGCGTTGACTCCCAGCAATTCGTCACCGAATCGACACTTCAGCGAACTCGCCTGCGAACTGGCCTGCGCATTCGAATGCAAAACCTAACCTAAAATAAGTAGATGATATCAGTAATTTGTGGGTGGATTTTTTTTCAGATTTTTACATCAATTACTTTTTTGTTAATACGGAAAACTTGACTTCATTTTCAACTCTGCCAGCCATAAATCCATCAATAATGAACGGATTTTATTCAAATTTGAAAATTAAGTAGATATTATCATTAATTTGTGGACGGATTCACTTCAGATTTTTATATCAATTACTTTTTTATTAATACGGAAAACCTAACTTCGCGTCTCGCAGGTTAGGTCTTAGTCAGGTAAAGTTTCAGTATTTTGTGGCATAAAAAAAGTAATTGATGTAAAAATCTGATATAAAGCTATAAAGCCGTCCGTTATTGAAGGATCCGTCCGTTATAAAATCCGTTCGTTATTGATGGATTTATGGCTGGCAGAGTTCAAAATGAAGTTAGGTTTTGCATTCGAATGAGCAGGCCAGTTCGCTGAAGTGTCTTACCGGTCAATTCGTCCCAGAAGAGTCGATGTGGTCGCGCCCAAATCTTTCTGTGAGCTTAGCCTCACTGGCAGCGGGAAGATGGAGATGCTGCAGGGCAGCGGTGAGCAGTTAGAGGCAGTCAATGACATGACACGTCTCGGACAATCGGCATTTTGGAGACCGGCCGGACAGGCGGCCGGTCTCCAAAATTATACAATTACACAGTGGC